CTCGGCGAACGCCTTGGTCGACGTGGAGAGGTTCTACGGCTCTTGGTGGCGAAGCGAGCGCTGGAGTACGGCTTCCCGCCGAGAGTGTTGGCCATGGCCATGCTGCCCCACCTCGCGCCGAGGATGCTGGAGGAGGACAGCGCACGCAGCCTGCCGATCTACGCCAGGCGCAGCCTGCTCGCGGGCTCCACGAACAGCAACAACCTAGCTCGGACCCTCATCTACCACGTGGTGAAGGCCATGAACAGCACGGTGCGGATGGTGCAGCCCAGGGCTTGGCTCGACGACATCGGCTTGAGAGCGGTGGGCAGCTTAACCATTGTCGAGGACTGCATCGTGGAGGCAACCTACGAGTTGGCGAAAGAGCTGGACAGCGAAGGTCTGGCCATGGCGGGCAAGTCGGTCCTACTCAGCACGAACTTCGACATGACCAAGAGGGCCACCAAAAAACTGGAGAAGATGGGACTCACAAGTAAGGCTGCCACGGAAGGAAGAAACCTCGGACTCGACAGAGCGGGGAGGACATGCACAAGGAGAACCACGCACAGCGCAAGGAAGAAGAAAGGCTTCAAAAGGTTCGCTGCGATCACGAAGAAGCTCAGGAAAGCCAGGACAAGGAGGCAGGCCATCGAGCAGGGACCCATGGCGCAGGTCGGCTACGGCACGAAGGCGCACGGAGCGAGCCCTGCCGAGCTCACGGCCATCAGGAGAAGGTATGCGAAGGGACTCAGAAAAGGCCTGGCCAGGAAGGTGCCTCACCACGCTGCTGGACCTGGATGGCGCCGACCCAGGCATCACCATCCCCAGGAACCAGATCCAGACGTGGTTCGATCGTTGGGCAAGCCGTCCAGATCTACGAGCAGGGGTACGTCGAGCATGGCCAAGGATCCGAGAACGTCTCCTAGCAGCACCAAAGACTACAAGGTGGCAGCAGCGCAGAGGCATCCTGGGATAGATCATCCTGCAGCTCTTGGGGATCAACTGGGACGCGAAGACAGCCGACTCCTGGGAGGACGCCGACGGAGGAGGATGGCAACTACAACCAGATGAAGGCAATGACGACCCCGCGGAGCTACTGGACGCGATCACCATCGACTTGCGGAAGAGGGGCTGGAAGTAAGCTAGCCTACACCACAATGGAGCGGATCTACAACATGGGGCCGACACCTACGACTTGAAGATGCAGCTGAAACGCCTGAGGAAGTACGGGAAGCACCAGATGTTCGGGGCGATCCTCATAACATCGTGCGCAGGAGCGTGGTCACCACAACGGAGGCGAGAGACATTTGGCGACGACGTCTGCAACCTGTGCGAGTGCGGCGATATCGCGAACGACTTCCACATCATCTGGGGCGAATGCAGCTGCAGGAACGACCACAGCATCTACAGGAAAACGGAGGACCTAGTGCACCGAGCGCGACAAGGACAACACGAGTGGGCGGCGTTCTGGCTAAGAGGGATCACGCCGCGAGCTTGGACTACGCCACCAACGTGTGAGACCGAGTACCAGCCAACACGTACGAGTTCAGCGGCCAACATCACCAACGCGGAACACTGCGAAAAGCTGCACTTGACGGAGGGCATGATAGCACGTGGAGATGGTAGCGGAGGAGAGCACGGAGGTGATGCACGGCACAGGAGATGCGGCTGGAGCTGGGCCATCATGCAGAACCATAGGGGGTTCTGGCAGGAGGCGGCAACCGTACATGGAACACTACCAGGAGCACGCCAGTCCAACGACAGGGCGGAGAGCACAGCGTTCCTGGACGGCCTGCCGTCGACGGAGGGCGACCTGATCTTCTGCACCTCCTCGGAGATCCTCTGCAAGGGCTGGCACAGCAGGAGGTACCTGACCACAGGCTACAAGAAAGCGCACGGGGACCTCTGGAAGAAGATCAGACAGCGACTGGAGTCACGAGGAAACGCCGAGGTGTGAGTTCGCCACATAGAGAGCCACATGACAATCGAGCAGGCACAGGATCGAGGTTGTACCGTTGGAGGCGTGGAGAGACAACCAGAGGGCGGACACCCTGGCAGGCGAGGCGGCGGCGATGCACGAGATACCACAGGCACAGATGGGCTGCTACGACTGGGCCAGGGCGACATCGCACAGGATCAGAACGCGCATTGGCAGCGCCTACAAGGAGCAGTTCGAGCGGACCAAGCCCATGGCATGGGAGGAGAAGGCAGAGGCGAAGCTCAGGAGGAAGCAGTCGCAGCCAGAGATCGAGTCCTTCAAGAGCGTGCTGGAGAACACCCCGCACTTGTTGAAGCCAGAGGGGAGAACATGGAGGTGCTCACGCTGCAGGAGTCGATTGGGAGGCACCAGCGATCCAGGGCGACGAGGTGGTGGCTTAGGAGATGCAAAGGAGAAGCGGACGGTCAAGCAGAACGACAGGAAGGAGCAAATCGGGGCCTGGTCCTCAAGGGCAAAATCTCCCTCGCGTCGCACACGATCTGCTGGTCAAGGCACAAGGAGCGCTACTTATGTTGGAGTTGCGGAGCCACGGCGGAAAAGCACCTCAATCATTTGGCCACTTCGCCTCAATGCAACTCAGACTCGCACAAACTCAGACACTGAGAAAGGAAAGCGTGTGCTGTGTTATCTGCGTCGGGACAAACCAAAACTGATTTGGCATAGCGAGAGAGGAGAGAGAGGGAGAGAGAGAGAGAGAAAGAGAGAGAGAGAGAGAAACAGAGAAGAACTGTTGAAAACCAACATGAATAATGAATGACTGACTGAGAGAGGGATATCCGCCGGCCCCCTTGTGGGGCCACCAGGCTGTAGGACGAAGTTGTTGCTCCCTGCACCAGATACAGTTTCAAGTATCCAATGTCAGAATCCTACTTTCTGCTTCCAAATGAAAATTGTTGAAATCTGCGCGAGGGGGGGAGCCCCAAACCAGCCGGTTACCACGCCCGAATCGCGTGCTCTGAATTCCTGGGGGGAGCGTGGGACACATAAAAATACTTGAGAGTCGCGCCCCCGAAGCCAGAATCCCTCGTAACTATCCGAAATTCGCGTCCCGAAGCCACAAGCCCTCGCAAAGTATAGTGTTGCGTCCCCGGGGCAACAGACCCTTTCAAATGATACCTTACTCGCGTCCCCGAGGCCATAAACCCTCGCAAATCAAGCTATATGAGTATTGCCGAGGCCAAGAGTGCTCCAAGGCGCCCGAAGATTGTTCCAAGACTGCCCAAGATGGCCCCAAGAGGCCTCAAGAGCGCTCCAAGAGGCCTCCAGCCCCAAGAGGCCAAAGTCGTCGATGTTACTCAGGTTTTTGAAGGATGTTGGCCTTCTCGCATATTCGGCTTTCCGACGCTCCAAGACGGCTCAAGAAGCTCCCAAGACCGCCCCAAGACAGCCCAACAGGCCTCCAAGAGGGTCCCAAGACAGCCCAAGAGGGCTCCAAGATTGCCCAAGAAGCGCTCAAGACGGCCCAAGAGGGTCCCAAGACGGCCCAAAGAGGGGCCCAAGCAGGGGACCACGAACCGACAATTCTATATGTGTGCCCCGAGAAGCCCCCAGGAGGTCCCAAGAGGCCGCCAAGAGGCCCCAAGAGGCTCAAAGAGGTGCCCAAGACGCGCCCAAGAGGCCTCCAAGAGGCCCAAAAGATACCCCACGAGGCCCCAAGAGGCCCCCAAGAGGCGCCCAAACCGCCACCAAGAGGCCCCCGAGAGGCTCCCCACGACACCCCAACACAGATACAAGAGGCCTAAGACCCACAACCTAAGCACGGTGGCGGGATGAGCCGAAGGCCACTACGATCCGCCGCCCCCTGTTGGCTTGCCACAGGGGTGCCTGGCGTGCTAGATCCTACCGATTTTGGTTTTGGCTCTTTTCCAAAAGAACTCGCCCTGGGGCTTCGGCCCGTCCCGCCGGCCCTGCGGAAGACCCAATTGCTCCAGACGGCTCCAAGATGACCCAGGATGGCCTCCAAGACGGCTCAGAAGCCCTCAAGTTCGCTCAAGATGGTCCGAGATGACTGCCAAGACTGCCCAAGAGAGTCCAAGATGCCTCAAAGTTCAGCCAGGAAGGCTCCAAGGCGGCCTCAAGATGACGGCAGCCGGCCCAAGAGGCCCCCACGAGGCTTGCAAGGCAGCCCAAGAGGCCGCCAAGAAGTCCTCCAGGAAGACCCGAAGAGGCCAAAATCATTGCTTTTCATGTGGTTATTGGAGGATGTTGGCATTTGATTAGTTTCGGTCTTCCGACGGCCCGAGAGGGCCCAAAAGCCCCCAACGATCGCCAAAGAGGCCTCCAAGATGAATTCCTTAAGACGGCCAAAGACGCCCCCGAGAAGCCCCCAAAGGCCCCCAAGAGGCCCAAGGAGGCCCCCCAAGATGCCTCCAAGAGGCTCCCAGGAAGCTCCCAGGAGGCAATCAGAGTGCCCCCAGAGGCTCCCAAGACGCCCCCTCCTCCTGCTCCTCCTCCTCCTCCTCCTGCTCCTCCTCCTCCTGTTCCTCCTCCTCCTCCTCCTCTTCCTCATTTTCCTCCTCCTCGTCCTCCTCCTCCTCCTCCTCCTGACCTTCCCCGCCATCATCCCCCAAGTGTTTCCCGAAGGGTTTTCACAGCGGCTGGGGGAACACGTGGCCCGATAGCTTGGCAGAGTTCTTGCCACAACAACACTCGGTCACATGGGCGATTCCAAAAGGCAGGGGGCGGCGGTGATTCGCCGTAGGCGTCTTCGATAACACTGACGTCTAAATATGCGCTGATGGTTCCTATCCGCCCCCGCATGATGTTCCCAGATGCGCCAAGGCAGCGCCGAGACGCATCGACGCGACTCTAATATAATATCCCATTATGATAGAGAGGGGGCCGGCGGCAGGGGGCGAAGCCCTTACGGATAACCTACTAGGAGATAGAGAGAGAGAGAACAACAAAGAGAAAGAGAGACAGATAAAGACAACACCAGAGAAATAAATTGCATGAGACACGGAGACTGCTCAGAAAGAATGGCAATCCGAGTGACAGTGGGGGAGAAACGATGCCACGGTGCCTTCTGGGAGCAACCCGCTGTAATCTGCGCAACACCCCAAGGTCTGCTGGAGGACATGTACTCAACCGAGAAGTTGTGCAAGTTATGGTACCAGAATGGGCTGGATGTGAAACTGGCGGAGCAGGGGTCGTTCGAAGCGCTGACAAATACGCCTGCCGTGTAACCCTGCCCCTGGCAAAGCGCCATCGCGCACTCCGCTTGTGTGGCTGAGTCCCAAGTGCACTCGATTGTCCAACTGCAGTGCGGGGAAGACTCAGTCAGCCCAGTACTCGTCACAATGATCATCCCCTGACCAAGCAAAAGTTTAGTTTTTGCGACATCCATGACTCAAAAAGCTCCTTGTGTTACGGGATGCTGGTTTCACAACACCCTTCATCGCACCAATGTGCTGCACCAGCCACGGTTGATCACCGATTACGTTACGCCGAGTACCTGGGGAAGTGGACCACCGATTGAACACCAACAAGTGAACGCACCATCTAACGATTACGTGCTGAGAAGAGAAGACAGAACATGCTGCTGCGGCGCATCCTATATTTACAATCAAGCTTGGCCACAAGCACGTGTGTCAAGAACGCGAGCCCCTTCGCCCAAGGCCGAAGGCGGGCGAAGGGGCTCGCGCCTGCCGGCAGCGTCGTGCCACACGCAGCCCGGTCTTTGCCGCCGTGGCGGAGGAGGAGGAGGAGGAGGAGGAGGAGGAGGAGGAGGAGAGGGAGGAGGAGGAGGAGGAGGAGAGGAGGAGGAGGAGGAGGAGGAGGAGGAGGGAGGAGGAGGAGGGGGAGGAGGAGGAGGAGGGAGAGGAGGAAGGGAGGAGGGAGGAGGAGAGGAGGAGGAGGAGGAGGAGGAGGAGGAGGAGGGAGGAGGAGGAGGAGGAGGAGGAGGAGGAGGAGGAGGAGGAGGAGAGGAGGAGGAGGAGGGGGGAGGAGGAGGAGGGAGGAGGAGGAGGAGGAGGAGGAGGAGGAGGAAAAGGAGGAGGAGGAGGAGGGAGGGGCCACCGGAGTCCTACGACGGTGCTCCTCGCCGCAGCGCGCTGGCAAGGAGCTCGCCCTTCTGGAGCGAAGGGCTCTCGAGCGAAGGCTGCTGGCTGCTGGACAGAGGGTACGGCGTATCGATCGTGAGCCGCCGGCTCCGCATCGCCCGGTCCAAGCTCGAGGGCATAGCGCAGCACGCTCAAAGGAACGAGGGTCCTGCATACCCGTCTCTCGGAGCAGGGCGAGTTGAGACAATGGCAGCCCAAACTCGGTCCCAGACCACTCCCGGGATCCCAGCGCACCAGTTTTCCGAGCTGTGCGTCCAGCCATGGCGACGAGGGGCCCCCCCGAAGGGCAGAGCTGCCGCTGCCTCCACGCGCTCTCCTCCGAGCCTCGCCTCGGCGCGGGCGGCCGGCCGCTCGGTGGCTCCCAGACCCGAGTCGGCGAAGAGCGGCAAGGGGGAATCGGCCCCACTAGAGGAAAAAGAACTATGCACATACACCGATTCTGGCCAGGCCCATCCTGAGCCCAGGATCGGTGCATACGCCCTCATACCTTGGCCAGGAAGGCATATGCACCGATCCTGGGTCAAGGATTTGCCTTGCCAGGATCGGTGCATGTGCATAGTTCTCTTCGCCCGACCCACGTGGCTCCCGGACCCGGGTCAGCCAGAGGGGCTGGCTGACGCCCATTAGCGCTGACCCCGTCAGCGCTGAGCCCCGAAAGGTCTGCAACCGGACGGCTCCAGAACCCGAAACCGGCACGCTCCAGAGGATTGCCCGTCTCGGGGCTCGTCGACCTCCCTTTCCCACATGCAAAAACATCTCCTAAGGCCCTGCACGGGCATTCTGACTTGACCAATGGGAGCCTTCTTAGGGCCTCCTGGGGCGTTACAGAAACACCGGGCGGGTGTGCTTTCGGACTGCCGCCATTCTCCTTCCCCCTCCTTCTCCATGCACATGGAGGAATGTTTGCCAGACCTGGAGAACCTCAGGAGGTCTTCGCACTGGCCAGGCACCACAACGCCCCACAACGTCGACCCAGCTTGTGACACGTGAAACAGCACGATGTGTGAAGAACTCCTTGCAGCTGGAGCCACATTCCGAAACATCTACGAGGAAATCCCAAATCGGAGCCGCATGCATGAGCTTCTTGTAGGAATCTGGAGGAGGCGCACACGTCCTCGTCATCCTCCCCCTCTTGGCCCCGAGCTTGCGCATGCTACATCTCTTATTCCCCTTCCCCTTTCCAAATCCGCCGACCCTGTCGGCGTGTGGAAGATGCTGTTCCGTTTGACTCGTCGTCGTCGTCGTCGCCGTCGTCATCGTCGTCGTCGTCGCCGCCGTGGTCGTTGTCGTCGTCGCCGTCGTCGTCGCCTTCGCCGCTCCCCTCCCCTTTCCCTAGGCCCGTCGCCGCTCCCCCCACTTTCACGGGGCCCTCCTCCTCAAGCGCGCCAGCCACAGCGAAATGAAGCAACGTTGTAGTTGAGTCGAAGGGAAGCCCCTTCCCTTTGATTCCTTCCCCGCCGGGGGGAGGTTCCGGGGGGATCGCCACCCAGATACGACTCCCCCCTGGGCAGTTCGGGGGCCCAGCAAAGCCCCAAGACGCGGCAAAAGTGCCCCAAGATGCCCCCAAGACGGTCCTCGAGGGCCCCGAATCGACAAAGTATCGGTCCAAGTCGCCAAAGTAGCCTATAGGCGGCTCAAAAGGCTTCCAAAACGCCCCAAGAGGCCTCTAAGAGGACTTCCAAAAGAACCCCAAGAGGCAAACATCATCGATTTCCCTTAGGTCTTTGAAAGATTTCGGCATTCTCGCCTTGTCAGCTTCCTGGCGCCCCAAGACAGGCCAAGAGGCCCCCAAGACCGCCCAAAGACTGCCCAAGAGGCCTCCAAGAGGGCCCAAAACAACCCAAGAGGGCCCCAAGACCGCCCAAGAGGCCTCCAAGACCGCCGAAGAGGCCCCCAAGACGGCTCCAAGAGGGAGCCCAGACGGGGGACCCGAACGGTCATTTCGAGCCCTCGGCCTGAGAAACTCCCAGGAGGCCCACGGAGGCCCCCAAGAAGCCCCCCAAGAGACCCCAGGAGGCCCCCAAGAGACCCCCAGGAAGCCCCAAGAGGCCCCCTCGAGGCTCCCAAGCGGCCCCACCTCCTCCCAAGAGGCCCCCAAACTACCCCCAAGAGGCCCCCGAGAGCGCTCGTCGTCGTCGTCGTCGTCGTCGTCGTCGTCGTCGTCGTCGTCGTCGTCGTCGTCGTCGTCGTCGTCGTCGTCGTCGTCGTCGTCGTCGTCGTCGTCGTCGTCGTCGTCGTCGTCGTCGTCGTCGTCGTCGTCGTCGTCGTCGTCGTCGTCGTCGTCGTCGTCGTCGTCGTCGTCGTCGTCGTCGTCGTCGTCGTCGTCGTCGTCGTCGTCGTCGTCGTCGTCGTCGTCGTCGTCGTCGTCGTCGTCGTCGTCGTCGTCGTCGTCGTCGTCGTCGTCGTCGTCGTAGGGTCGGCGGCACCGGCCGTAAGGCCTTCGCACAAAAAACAGGACCACCGTCGTACTCACAATTGGGATGGCCACGTCGGGAGTCGTCATCACAGGAGCAACGGTGATCACCAATTCACTGCTCCAGTCAGCAGCCGCCATAGCACTGTCAGTCTCGGCTTTGATAGCGTCTGCAACTCCACCAACCGTGATGGACAAATCCTCGGCAGCTCTCTCGTCGGCGACCTGAACAGTGAAGCGGGTCGTCACAGAGACTGTGCGCGAGAGCTGGTGGCCGGCCGCAGAGAGCCGACGAGCAGCCACGGTGAGGCCCGTCACCAGAATGTCGGAGGCAGGCACAGACAGAGCAGCAGACAAGCCGGTCGTTTTGGCGGACCTGTAGACAGTGGAAGACATGAGGTCAGACGAAGTTACGCCCGACGGAAGAGTTTCCTCCGCTGTGTACTCGGCAGAAACCAGGACTGTTTCGGTAGGGGCCTGTCGAACAAGAGCTGGCACAATAGATGCACATGGCATGCTGAAAACGAGTAGACCAGATGACAGGCATGAGCACACGGTTTCCGCAAATCCTGACAAGCTGGACAGCGATGTGCAAAGATTATGTGCAAACATGATTGCACACACAAACACAAGTGTTCACTCGCGAACTGATCAAACACACAAATAATCCACGGCCGCGATTGCAGCGACTGGCGCGCGTCTTGCACTATGTGTGTCGTTACTTCTTGTTTGTTTTTTCTTCGCCACCGTGCCCCGAGGCACAAAGAGGAGTGCCCTCAGGTCCCGTAGAGCCCTCTCTATGGGAGTAACGAATAACTACTCTGTAAAGAGCCCACACAGCCCGAATCCCAGGCGCTCCCAGGCGCGTCTGGGTCTTCACGCGTGTTGTCGCAAAACTTCTCTGGAGGCAAAGGGGGCTACAAGACAGGCCAAGAGGGCCCCAAGAGGCTCCGAAGACGGCCCCAAGAGGGCCCCGAGACGGCCGACGGTCGCCCCAAAACGCCCCAGAGAGCCTCCAGACAGGTCAGTAGGCCCCCAAGACGCCCCAAGAGGGCTCCACGAGGCCCTCCAAGACAACCCCAAGCGGCCCAAATCACTGATGCTTCTAAGGTGCTTGAAAGATGTGGGCGTTCTCGCTATTTCTGGCTCCCGACGCTCCAAGACGGCCCAGGAGGCCCCCGAAATCGCCCCAAGACGACCAAGAGGCCTCCAAGAAGGCGTCAAAGACTGCTCGAGAGGGCCCCTACAGAGCCCCAGGAGGGAGACACTTCGAGCCCTCCGCCCCAACTTATAACCCCCGAAGGCTCCCGAGTTGGTCCCCCAGATCGCCCCAGGCGGCCCCCCAAAGGGCCCCAATCATGCCCAAGGAGCCCCCGAGAGACTCTCGAGAGGCCCCCACGACACATCAAAACCGCCTCAACGAGGCGTCCGAGAGGCCTCCCGAGAGATCCCCAGAGGCCTGACCTTCAACCCAGACACGGTGGCGGGATAGACCGAAAGCCACTGGATCCACCGCCCCCTGTGGCTTGCCACAAGGGTGCACAGCGT